TTTTGGTGATCGACCACTTGCACTTTTTGGAGGTGACAGAAACAGATCGTTTCATCTCAGCTTGAGCCAAAAGATGGAAGAGAGTTGCAGACACATGCAGGTGCAGTGAGCAACTTGCACAGATCCATCTGGATGAACAGCAGCCCAGGGATGAAGAGTTCATTCACTTTGATGGAAGGTTTAACCTAAACATAAAACAAGACATATAAAAATACAGTTTGCAGTAAACAGTTGCTTGAACAGCATTGGGCCTAATCCCACACATGAATTCCAAGATCAGTTATAATTTCATAATGAAATTAGTATTATCACATCCAATTCTTTCCTTAAAAAAAAAAGAAAGGTTAATGCTGTGTTTTATTTGGCAAAATAAATTATAAATGAGAAACACAGGTTGGGACAACAGTCTCACTGTTCATTATACTAGTCAGTGTCTGTAATATGATAGGGCTTTGACTTTTGCACAGAAATCATATTCGAAGTTTGTATTATTATTAGAATATATAATCAAACATTTAATTATAATTAATAAAACGGCTCCTCAAAGCTAGCTGTTACCACGCTCACTAAACAAATACCAATCAATCAACACCATTAAATGTTAATCGGACAATACAGTCTACACATCCCTAACACAAATGCACCGACGATTTCAGAATTCTTTGTTCACGTTTTCATGACGAAAATACTGTTTTAATGTGACAAAAATAAACCCGGAAGTAACCATCAACATGAAACAAACATTTTAGGACACATTTGAGGAGGATCTGATGGATTTAGGTTTGGTATATAAGAGTCACTCACCGCTGATGCTCAGAATTCTTTGTTCAGTTTTCATGTAGTTCCAGAGAGTTTTTGAACAAGCTAGCTTAGCTGTTACTAGCTTAGCTGTTACTAGCTTAGCTGTTACTAGCTTAGCTGTTACCTGCCTAGCACGTCCAGTGAAACCTATTTTATTCACAGTCATTAAATACATTTCGAACATTAAGGGCTGTCTAATATTCTAATTATATTCGAATTTCGAAGTCAAAGCCCTATAATATGATAGTTAAAAGTAACATATTTAGATCCAACAAACAGACACACTTAATCTTGTTGGTGATTGTATTTTATGTTTATCCCAGTTAAGAAAAAGGTACTATACTTTGGTGATAAAAATACATTAACCAACCTTTGCAGTAATGACGGAAAAATCCTTCCCCACTGGAGTCCAAATCAAAGAGTGGCTGACCCGTCCGGACTCGTGGTACCGACAGAGTCCAAATCAAAGATTGGCTGACCCATCCGGACTCGTGGTACCGACAGCCTGCCAAGCTTTTGTTTCGGTCAGGTAGCTGTAGATGTCACCGAACTCAATGTCAGGAAGTATTTCTACACATTTAATGTCTGTAAAAAGAACTTGTGGTGCTTCATATGGATCTACGATTCCCAATTCTTTTATCTTCCTCGTGTATATATCTTTTTCTGAAGCTAAAGAGTGCGATGACATGACGTGAAGCGAACGAGCTATGACAGATTCATTGCTGTGGAGTCGGCACTCTGGTCTCACTCTGGTCTCACTCTGGTCTCCCTCTGGTCTCCCTCTGGTCTGTGGAGTCGGCGGACTGCACCGTCAAAATGTCCGACACGCTGGTTTTGGTCACGTGACTGGGAGATCCCTATTGCACAGAGAAGTAGGGCTCTCATATAGGGTCTCTCTGGTCTCTCTGGTCTCACTCTGGTCTCTCTCTGGTCTCTCTCTCTGGTCTCTCTCTGGTCTCTCTGGTCTCACTCTGGTCTCTCTCTGGTCTCTCTCTGGTCTCCCTCTGGTCTCACTCTGGTCTCACTCTGGTCTCTCTCTCTGGTCTCTCTCTGGTCTCTCTCTGGTCTCCCTCTGGTCTCACTCTGGTCTCACTCTGGTCTCTCTCTGGTCTCACTCTGGTCTCTCCTCTGGCCTTTCTCTCTGGTCTCTCTCTCTGGTCTCTCTCTGGTCTCTCTCTGGTCTCTCTCTGGTCTCACTCTGGTCTCTCTCTGGTCTCTCTCTGGTCTCTCTCTGGTCTCACTCTGGTCTCACTCTGGTCTCACTCTGGTCTCTCTCTGGTCTCACTCTGGTCTCTCTCTGGTCTCTCTCTGGTCTCTCTCTGGTCTCTCTCTGGTCTCACTCTGGTCTCCCTCTGGTCTCACTCTGGTCTCCCTCTGGTCTCACTCTGGTCTCACTCTGGTCTCTCTCTGGTCTCTCTCTGGTCTCTCTCTGGTCTCTCTCTGGTCTCACTCTGGTCTCCCTCTGGTCTCACTCTGGTCTCACTCTGGTCTCCCTCTGGTCTCACTCTGGTCTCACTCTGGTCTCACTCTGGTCTCACTCTGGTCTCTCTCTGGTCTCCCTCTGGTCTCACTCTGGTCTCCCTCTGGTCTATCTCTCTGGTCTCACTCTGATCTCTCTCTGGTCTCACTCTGGTCTCCCTCTGGTCTCACTCTGGTCTCACTCTGGTCTCCCTCTGGTCTCCCTCTGGTCTCACTCTGGTCTCCCTCTGGTCTCCCTCTGGTCTCACTCTGGTCTCCCTCTGGTCTCTCTCTGGTCTCTCTCTGGTCTCCCTCTGGTCTCACTCTGGTCTCCCTCTGGTCTCCCTCTGGTCTCACTCTGGTCTCCCTCTGGTCTCTCTCTGGTCTCTCTCTGGTCTCCCTCTGGTCTCTCTCTCTGGTCTCACTCTGGTCTCTCTCTGGTCTCACTCTGGTCTCACTCTGGTCTCTCTCTCTGGTCTCACTCTGATCTCTCTCTGGTCTCACTCTGGTCTCCCTCTGGTCTCCCTCTGGTCTCACTCTGGTCTCCCTCTGGTCTCACTCTGGTCTCACTCTGGTCTCTCTCTCTGGTCTCTCTCTCTGGTCTCTCTCTGGTCTCACTCTGGTCTCACTCTGGTCTCCCTCTGGTCTCTCTCTGGTCTCTCTCTGGTCTCCCTCTGGTCTCTCTCTGGTCTCCCTCTGGTCTCTCTCTGGTCTCTCTCTGGTCTCTCTCTGGTCTCCCTCTGGTCTCACTCTGGTCTCTCTCTGGTCTCACTCTGGTCTCTCTCTGGTCTCTCTCTGGTCTCACTCTGGTCTCCCTCTGGTCTCTCTCTGGTCTCTCTCTGGTCTCCCTCTGGTCTCTCTCTGGTCTCTCTCTGGTCTCTCTCTGGTCTCCCTCTGGTCTCACTCTGGTCTCTCTCTGGTCTCTCTCTGGTCTCTCTCTGGTCTCTCTCTGGTCTCCCTCTGGTCTCCCTCTGGTCTCCCTCTGGTCTCTCTCTGGTCTCCCTCTGGTCTCTCTCTGGTCTCACTCTGGTCTCCCTCTGGTCTCTCTCTGGTCTCTCTCTGGTCTCTCTCTGGTCTCTCTCTGGTCTCCCTCTGGTCTCACTCTGGTCTCCCTCTGGTCTCCCTCTGGTCTCACTCTGGTCTCCCTCTGGTCTCTCTCTGGTCTCCCTCTGGTCTCACTCTGGTCTTTCTCTCTGGTCTCACCTCTGGTCTCCCTCTGGTCTCACTCTGGTCTCACTCTGGTCTCTCTCTCTGGTCTCACTCTGATCTCTCTCTGGTCTCCCTCTGGTCTCACTCTGGTCTCCCTCTGGTCTCACTCTGGTCTCACTCTGGTCTCTCTCTCTGGTCTCTCTCTCTGGTCTCTCTCTGGTCTCACTCTGGTCTCCCTCTGGTCTCTCTCTGGTCTCTCTCTGGTCTCCCTCTGGTCTCTCTCTGGTCTCCCTCTGGTCTCTCTCTGGTCTCTCTCTGGTCTCCCTCTGGTCTCCCTCTGGTCTCACTCTGGTCTCCCTCTGGTCTCTCTCTGGTCTCCCTCTGGTCTCTCTCTGGTCTCACTCTGGTCTCCCTCTGGTCTCTCTCTGGTCTCTCTCTGGTCTCCCTCTGGTCTCTCTCTGGTCTCTCTCTGGTCTCTCTCTGGTCTCCCTCTGGTCTCACTCTGGTCTCTCTCTGGTCTCCCTCTGGTCTCTCTCTGGTCTCTCTCTGGTCTCCCTCTGGTCTCCCTCTGGTCTCCCTCTGGTCTCCCTCTGGTCTCTCTCTGGTCTCCCTCTGGTCTCTCTCTGGTCGCACTCTGGTCTCCCTCTGGTCTCACTCTGGTCTCACTCTGGTCTCTCTCTCTGGTCTCACTCTGATCTCTCTCTGGTCTCCCTCTGGTCTCACTCTGGTCTCCCTCTGGTCTCACTCTGGTCTCACTCTGGTCTCTCTCTCTGGTCTCTCTCTCTGGTCTCTCTCTGGTCTCACTCTGGTCTCACTCTGGTCTCCCTCTGGTCTCTCTCTGGTCTCTCTCTGGTCTCCCTCTGGTCTCTCTCTGGTCTCCCTCTGGTCTCTCTCTGGTCTCTCTCTGGTCTCCCTCTGGTCTCCCTCTGGTCTCACTCTGGTCTCCCTCTGGTCTCTCTCTGGTCTCCCTCTGGTCTCTCTCTGGTCTCTCTCTGGTCTCCCTCTGGTTTCTCTCTGGTCTCTCTCTGGTCTCCCTCTGGTCTCTCTCTGGTCTCTCTCTGGTCTCTCTCTGGTCTCCCTCTGGTCTCACTCTGGTCTCTCTCTGGTCTCTCTCTGGTCTCTCTCTGGTCTCTCTCTGGTCTCCCTCTGGTCTCCCTCTGGTCTCCCTCTGGTCTCCCTCTGGTCTCTCTCTGGTCTCCCTCTGGTCTCTCTCTGGTCTCTCTCTGGTCTCCCTCTGGTCTCTCTCTGGTCTCTCTCTGGTCTCCCTCTGGTCTCTCTCTGGTCTCTCTCTGGTCTCTCTCTGGTCTCCCTCTGGTCTCACTCTGGTCTCCCTCTGGTCTCCCTCTGGTCTCACTCTGGTCTCACTCTGGTCTCTCTCTGGTCTCTCTCTGGTCTCCCTCTGGTCTCTCTCTGGTCTCTCTCTGGTCTCTCTCTGGTCTCCCTCTGGTCTCACTCTGGTCTCCCTCTGGTCTCTCTCTGGTCTCTCTCTGGTCTCCCTCTGGTCTCCCTCTGGTCTCCCTCTGGTCTCTCTCTGGTCTCCCTCTGGTCTCACTCTGGTCTCTCTTTATCTTCCTCCAGTTAACCTGTAGTGAATGTGTCTGAACTCTGCTCTGCTCCAAATGAAGTCACTGCCTCCGTATAATGAACTAGCAATTAGCAGCAAAGCTAATTCCCCTTTGCCACAGCGTAAACATGACCCTAAAGAAGAGAAAGAGAACAGTGTAGCGCCTCTCCTCCCCCTCTCCTCCCCCTCTCCTCCCCCTCTCCTCCCCTCCCTCCTCCCCCTCTCCTCCCCCTCTCCTCCCCCTCTCCTCCCTCCCTCCCCCCTCCCTCCCCCTCCTCTCCGCCCATTCAAGTCCTGATGCTAATAATACGGTCATTACGACTCTCTAATCCACTCTAAGATCACTGCTCCTTTAGTGTGTGTGTGTGCGTCTGTGTGTGTGTGTGTGCGTCTGTGTGTGTATGTGTGTGTGTGCTTGCATTGGGGGGGGTCCCAGGATAATGGTAGTACTGGGACCAGCCCGAGAAGCATATGGTGAGGCCGGGACGCCTGCTGGTGCGGCAGCTGTGGGACTGCAGGATCACACAGACAGCATTAAAGAGCCATCAGAGCCCCCCCCCCCCCCCCCCCCCCCCCCCCCCTCCCTCCCTCACCCCTCTCCTCCCCCCTCTCCTCCCCCCTCTCCTCCCCCCTCCACAACAAACCCCCACCCATCCTCTCCCACCATCGCCCAGACTCTGCACCCACCAGCTCAGGCCACCGCGGCTGCAGAGAGAGAGAGCTGCGGTGGGCGACCAAGTGGACCATAAAAGACCAGTACTGAGGCCACCTGGTCTCAGAGATGTCTCCCATGGTCTCTGGAACCATGGGCCAGATACACACACAACGTGAATCATGATTTTTGTCAATGTCGGCCATTTTGCTTCACTTTTGATCACTTCCTGTCTTGTAGCACGCCTAATCCTACTGAAGCCAAAAGTAAAAAAAAACATGTGTGTTGCTATGGTAACTAGCTCTCGCTCCCAGCTGAGATTGCTCTGAACCAATCACAAACCAGCACCTTGAGAGAAGTAGCGGGTCTCTCTGATTGGTCAGAACTCTCACATGTTCTTCCGGTCCTGTGGAAGTAGAACCGATGTACCTGCTGCACAAGACCAGGAGAACCAGAAAGACCAGGAGAACCAGAGAGACCAGGAGAACCAGAGAGACCAGGAGAACCGGAAAGACCAGGAGAACCAGAGAGACCAGAAGAACCAGAGAGACCAGAACACGCCACCTCTGATCTGAAAGAGCAGACATCTTGGAGAGACCAGGAGCGGCAGACATCTTGGAGAGACCAGAGGCAGACATCTTGGAGAGACCAGAGGCAGACATCTTGGAGAGACCAGAGGCAGACATCTTGGAGAGACCAGAGGCAGACATCTTGCGAATTTCTGCAATGGAAACAATATGTATCCAGCAAAGACACATCACACCATCTGCATGTAAAAGCCTACACCTGACAGACCTCTGAAGCCAATCAGGGCAGGAACTGGTTAGTGCTGTGATGGGAGACCTCTCTGAACACCAGGTGTCAGTCACAGTGGGGCGGCTGCGGCTGTAAAGTGCCAAACTGTGGCTGTGTCCTTGGGCAAGACACTTCCCCCACCTTAGAATGACTCTAGTGTGTGTGTGTGTGTGTGTGTGTGTGAATGGATGGTGGTGGTGGGAGGGGCCGATGGCACAGACTGGTTGCCTCACTTCGGTCAGTGTGCCCCAGGGCAGCTGTGGCTTCAGTGGTAGTACTGTGTATGGAGAAAAAAGCGCTGCAGAAAAACGATTACTATTATTATTATCATAGATATTGAGTCAAACATTTTTCATCTTTTCTTGTTTTGTGGAGCACTCTGAGATGCCCTGTGTATGACCTGTGCTATACCAATAAACCTGCTGTTTGAGAACAGTCAGAGTGATCCGTGTGGAGCAGTGACACTGGACCGTCCCCTGACAACAGGAACATGGAGGCTGTGATGGAGGCTGTGATGGAGGCTGTGATGGAGGCTGTGATGGAGGCTGTGATGGAGGCGCTCACTGAGAAAGTTAGACTCTAACTTTAAACAGCTCTAAATGTGTTATTAAGATAAGATAAACCTTCTGCAGAGACACAGTCTGTATCTTTACACCAGACCAGAAAGAGAGACCAGAGAGAGAGAGACCAGAGAGAGAGAGACCAGAGAGACCAGAGAGAGAGAGACCAGAGAGAGAGAGACCAGAGAGAGAGAGACCAGAGAGAGAGAGACCAGAGAGAGAGAGACCAGAGAGAGAGAGACCAGAGAGAGAGAGACCAGAGAGAGAGACCAGAGAGAGGGGTCAGAGAGAGAGACCAGAGAGAGAGAGACCAGAGAGAGAGACCAGAGAGAGAGATACCAGAGAGAGAGAGACCAGAGAGACCAGAGAGAGAGAGACCAGAGAGAGAGACCAGAGAGAGAGACCAGAGAGAGAGAGACCAGAGAGAGAGACCAGAGAGAGAGAGACCAGAGAGAGAGACCAGAGAGAGAGAGACCAGAGAGAGACCAGAGAAAGAGAGACCAGAGAGAGAGAGACCAGAGAGAGAGAGACCAGAGAGAGAGACCAGAGAGAGAGAGACCAGAGAGAGAGAGACCAGAGAGAGAGACCAGAGAGAGAGAGACCAGAGAGAGAGACCAGAGGGAGAGAGACCAGAGAGAGACCAGAGAGGAGACAACAGAGAGAGAGACCAGAGAGAGAGAGACCAGAGAGAGACCAGAGAGAGAGACACCAGAGAGAGAGACCAGAGAGAGAGAGACCAGAGAGAGAGAGACCAGAGAGAGAGACCAGAGAGAGACCAGAGAGAGAGAGACCAGAGAGAGAGACCAGAGAGAGAGAGACCAGAGAGAAAGACCAGAGAGAGAGAGACATTAGCCTTATGAGTCCTGGTACCATGTGTGTTCTGGTATCTATGTGTCCTAGTACCTATGTTACCTGGTACCATGTGTCCCAGTACCTATGTGTCCTGGTACCATGTGTCCTAGTACCATGTGTGGGTCTGAGTGCCTGAACTGCTGCACATCTGTTGATTTGTGTCTCGTGAATAAGAAATGGCGTTCGTTGTAAAAACCTAAATTAAGGTCAAAGTAAAACATGAAAGATGCATCGCTCCGAACTCCGCCTCTGAACGCTTCTCTGACGGCGCCAAATAATTTATAACGGTTTCAGACGTCGACAGCTTCGTCAATCAATAACACGAGGCTTTATCCAGAACACAAACGTGGACAAACGCCACGACATGAGAAGGCTATCAGGACCATCAAGTATTTAGAGGAGAGAGTCCCGAGAGAGAGACCAGAGAGAGGCCGGAAACCAGAGAGAGAGAGAGACCAGAGAGGGAGACCAGAGAGGGAGACCAGAGAGAGGCCGGAAACCAGAGAGAGAGAGAGACCAGAGAGGGAGACCAGAGAGAGAGACCAGAGAGAGGCCGGAGACCAGAGAGAGGAGACCAGAGAGAGGCCGGAGACCAGAGAGGGAGACCAGAGAGAGGCCGGAGACCAGAGAGAGAGAGAGACCAGAGAGGGAGACCAGAGAGGGAGACCAGAGAGAGACCAGAGAGGCCGGAGACCAGAGAGAGACCAGAGAGAGACCAGAGAGAGGCCAGAAACCAGAGAGAGAGAGAGACCAGAGAGAGAGACCAGAGAGGGAGACCAGAGAGAGGCCGGAAACCAGAGAGAGAGAGACCAGAGAGAGAGATCAGAGAGAGGCCGGAAACCAGAGAGAGAGAGACCAGAGAGAGATACCAGAGAGAGGCCGGAAACCAGAGAGAGAGAGACCAGAGAGAGAGACCAGAGAGAGAGACCAGCGAGAGACCAGAGAGAGGCCGGAGACCAGAGAGAGAGACCAGAGAGAGAGACCAGAGAGAGACCAGAGAGAGACCAGAGAGAGACCAGAGAGAGACCAGAGAGAGACCAGAGAGAGAGACCAGAGAGAGACCAGAGAGAGACCAGAGAGAGACCAGAGAGAGACCAGAGAGAGACCAGAGAGAGAGAGACCAGAGAGAGACCAGAGAGAGAGACCAGAGAGAGACCAGAGAGAGACCAGAGAGAGACCAGAGAGAGACCAGAGAGAGACCAGAGAGAGAGACCAGAGAGAGAGACCAGAGAGAGAGACCAGAGAGAGAGACCAGAGAGAGACCAGAGAGAGAGACCAGAGAGAGAGACCAGAGAGAGACCAGAGAGAGACCAGAGAGAGAGACCAGAGAGAGACCAGAGAGAGACCAGAGAGAGACCAGAGAGAGACCAGAGAGAGACCAGAGAGAGACCAGAGAGAGACCAGAGAGAGACCAGAGAGAGACCAGAGAGAGACTACAGCTGCTTCCTCATAAATACTAACATGAGTTTGATTTTTTGAGAGTATGACATTTATTCGTTGGTCGCGCTGAGGCCGATATTGTTACAAAAAATAAAAGTTTGAAAAGGCTGCGACCGGCGCCGGGTTCTGAATAATTGAAAATTAGGTGAGCCTTTAATAATTGACTGCTACAAATGAGACTGATAAATGTTTTAAAATGGCCGCCGACTGTACTCACAGAGAAGTCCACAACACACACTCATGAAGATTTAACTGTGGGAAGCATCCAGAACCACGGCCAATCAGAACCA